TGAAATTGAGATTTATACATCACCAGAAATCTGAATAAATAAGTTTTCCATTGATGTCGTTTGTTAGGACAATATTTGGCCGAGATATCTATGTGAAAATCTGGAATCTGAGGGCGCAAAAAAATCAAAACATTGAGAAATCGCCTTTAATGTTGTGCATTTACTGTATGTTCGGTAGGAAATTTACAAAATATCTTAATGGAACATGATTTTTACTTAATATCCTAATGATTTTTGGCATAAAAGAAAAAATTATAATTTTGACCCATACAATGTTTTGTGATTCAGGGTCACACACACACATAGCAAGATTTGAACAAATCTTTGAAAGTATACAAGCATCGACATGCAACCAATGAGTGAACATTAAACTAATGAATGTCTTTGTTATTCACTTATATTAACAGTTTGCTGATGAGTTAAATTGTTTGACCTGGATGAATTTGATTGCATGTGTTTTGTGTCAGTTTGCATAAACTTCATGTAAATAAATTGCTTTAGGCTACTGTATTTACACTGTAAGCTGTGAAGGTCATGATGTGCAAATCGCTAATGTAATCTTGCTTCACTGGCAAATGTATTCTGTGGAGTCAGTGAGATATGAAATTATTTTAAGTATTACTTATTTAATCTGATCTGTGAGAGAACCGAATGCACTGGAGGCAGGCAGACTGGATGAAAGCTAAATAAAACTACAGCAACATTTGCATATTGTTTTTATCTGTCTGGTGCCTTATTGAATCTACTAATCTATTTTAGCAGGGAAAAAAAGGCCTTGTCAACACAAGACATAAGAGAAAAGGTCTGCTTCACAGCAACATTTGGCTGAATTATGAAAACAATGCAATAATGTCCACACAGGGCCGTCGCCAGAACAAACCAATTGGGGGGGCATTTAATTTTCATAGGGGGGCACACTTTTTTTTAATGATCTGAGACAGACCAAAACAACAACCCATATTAGGCTTCAACTAAAATAGACCACAATAGTCTTGTTTTATTCATTTTATTTAAATAAAATACTTCACTGTATGATCTCAACGTCTCTGTTTATTTTCTCTTAACATTTCCACATATAGCTTGCTAGCCTAGTAGCCTATATTTTTTGTTAATCTGCATAGTTCGTCACATACACAACACAGTGCCATCTAGTGGCTTTCTTGTAAAAGGCGCAATCAACGTAATATCAATAGTCCAAAGTCCAAACTAAGTAAAACTACGTCAAAACCAAATTGATTTATGACTCTACACACAAAAGCACCTGGTTTCCACCAACAATACAGCAATAATAAAAGCAATGCATAACATACTGCAATACAAATTTAGCAATGTAGCAGACAAATTCTCTATTCTTACCTTTCTTATACTGTCTGTTCCTACCATCTAATTAGCTCCAGAGTCGTTTCCACGCACGTTGTTGTTGGTCAAAAGTCGTCTTTGTCAACGACGAAACTTTAAACCACTTAGCATAAGCTTTGCTGTAAGCGTACAAAACCATAGACTATGTACAAAACCACCAGAATTTGATTCTCCGATCGCATGCACTGCGCAGCTGCGCAAAGGAATTACGTATAAACAATACTGTATGCTTAACTAAATAAATTGCATTGTTTATATTATTTATTTATCCTTAAACACAAACTGCATATTGTAATTTGAAGAAGTAAAAATACTAACACAAAAATAACAAATTGAAAGGTCTGCTGCTGGAGACTTGCCATTGGCTGTTGAATGTGAATAATTAATGAGGTAGGTCTTTGCAAGGTTTGGGTGCTGTTTTGGGATGTTTTAACAGTCATTTATGAAAATAATTATATTTCAAGTTACGTTCTGTGTAATAATGCGTTGAATAATGAATTTCTAAATCATTTGTGAAGATAATGTATTATACATTCCTACCGTTGTAGAGCTTACCGTTCCTGTGAGATAAGTTATGCAGAAAGACCGAGCTCCGTTCGATTTAATTATTAGCATATACATATTAACATTTAATGTCAAGCTCATGCGTAGGTGGGCACAGTAAGTCGTATGGGGGGGCACTGCCCCCCAATGCCCCCCCTTGGTGACGGGCCTGTGTCCACACTGCAGCTGCTGTATTATTCATCTGCTGTACACAACTCCGAGTTTTCATGCTGTTTTATTCTGTGTGTTATTGCACACGGGGCACAAAGGGAAAGAAGCATCTGCGACACAAACCTCTAGAGCTGCACACAGAGGAACAAGAGTGTGTTCATCACACCGATGTCTATGGGCCAAAAACATGATTGGGTGGTTATTTTGAAATCTGGCAATTTACGAAAATGACTTCATCAGGAGAGTGAATTGTCGGCTATTTCCTGAATAATTTTGCTCTAAAAGTAGCAAATCCTGTGTCCAAATGGGGGCCTGTATATTACTGTGTACATCGCTATATATTTTTATTTATTTATTTTTTCACCACGGCAATAAACTAAGGCTGTTGTTTTCCTGTCAGGCTTGGATCTAATCTGATCAGGTTCTGCCCTCTGTTGGACAGAAGCGGAACATATCTAACCAAACCAAATACTAAATAGTTACAATTTAATAAACAAAGCTAGTGTGCATATGGTAGCTTTTCCTATCTTTGTATTGTTTAATATAGAATTCCATTTCCAAAGCAATTACAGTTTAGCTATTGATTTATTATTTTACCAGCATGAAATCTTCGCTGGTAAGAATGATATGACTTTAAAAAAGTTATTAAAGTACACAGTTAGGTTGTTTGTTTTTAAACAAGGGAATAAACCGCTAGTTGAACGAGATAAGTAGTGAAACCCATTTATTGTCCTTGACAGAGGATCCGAAACTGGATAATGCGGTAAGAGAAATGGCTATATTCATTTCGTACAGGTCTGAAGCGATTGAAAAATGCGGCTTGCTGTATAGTTTTAGAAATAAATGATATTTCCATCTCGAAAGAACTTGTGTCAGGGTTCTGTCCTGTTAAAAACAGACGACAACTTTGTCAAAACAATCCCTGTTCACACGCATCTGCAGAAAATGACTAAAAGGGCTGTATTATACAGTAAAAGGAGATATCACTTAAAGGGAGGGTTGAGTGCGATTTCACTTTTTTCATGTTAAATAGTGTGTAATGTTGCTGTTGGTGCATGAACAGTAACGTTATCTGCAAAGTTGCAGCGCTGAAAGTTCAGTGTATCGCATACTATCCGTCCTAAATAGTATTTGAAAATAGAATTAGTACGTCCCAAATCGTAGTATGTTGAAATCATAGACTGTAAAAAAATACAGTTGAAATGAGTGTTTCAAAGATACCCGGATGGTCTACTTTTTCCGGTCAGAATCCGAAGTGTAGATCGATGCACACTCTCCGGCTGATATTGCCCACAAACCATTGCGCGTTGGACGAGGATTCGGTTAGAACTACAAACACGAGTAGAAAGTGTTAAAAAACTACAGACACGTAGTCGATACGGAGGACGCGCGAGTAGTCCCCGCGGTTGTGTAGAGAGGTTTAGATAAAGAGCTTTGAGTAATTAATTATCAGTATCTAACCTGACGAAAATGAATTTATTAAATGTTGTCCACATTATATTGCATTTGCAGCAGCATTGTGAACTTTTGTAAAGACACGTTTAGCTATTACGTTTTAAATGCATCATTATATTCAAATTGCAAACACGAGGAGAGCATGAAAGACCCACAACTGGTAGATGGATGTGCTCTCCGAAACGGTAGGAAATAAAATTAGATATAGAATGGAGGATTTTAACTGTGACAAGATGATTGACAGGGCAGTTTACGGTGACAGGATGCACGCAGCACGCGACAGAGCTGTCCGTTAAAGATGACGTGATAGTACGTCCCAAAGCTTGCCTACTCTTTTGCTACACACTCAAAAGTACGTACTTTTTCCTCACAAAAAGAGTACATACTTTTAGGGCGTAGTATAAGTAAGCGAATTGGGACGTAAATCAGGAAGTATAATTGCCTACAAAAACGACTCGATTGGGACTACAACTGGGTTATGGTACGTCACTAACCTACACATTTACATCAACCACTCCCTCCGGAATATGCAGAAAATGGCATGCCTATATTTCCGAGGCTCGTCGAGTGTGTTCATCCAGCTGTCCGGTCTTCTGTATTCCAGCTTCCCACAGACGCTGTACTTCGTCAACAATGGATACAATTTATGTTTGATTATGTTCCTGAAAATGATGATGTAATCTAGCTCTCTGTGCTGCGCATTTACAGAAGACAGCTTCCAGAATCTCCACGAGTTCAACACCGGATTCAACAAGAAACTGTTACTAAAACATGAAGCAGATCCGACTTTAAAACAAGAGGCAGCAGTTGTTGGTCCACAAACAAAATTAAAAAAGTCATTTTTTTCATTTTCCCATTCATTTTCAGTTGGGGTCATTTTGACCCCAAACAGCTTAAATGGTAATTTTTTTTATTGGCCATTTCTTTTCTTTTTTTTACTGAAAATGAGAAGCCATGCTAAAATCGTATTAGTGTTTTTAATCAATAAACAATAGCCTATGTTTTATATCAGCGCCAGTAAAACATCATATTACTCTGGCAAATGAGTCGAACATAAATCAAATTGTGTGAATTATAGCAATTAAAATAAATCTAACACTACAACCTTCGGAACATGAAAAAAATAACTTTTGGTGAATTTCTCTATAAAATAATGATGTACTTGTGCATGGAAAACATCGGTGCCATTTAATGGGAGAGATAAAGTTGCTTATAAGAGAATATTCAGTCAATTAACTGTATTAGGGTTTGCATATGGGTGTATATTACACATTATCAAACACAATAGACCAACAAAATCGCTCAATTCCCATTCAGATCACACGTGTGAATATTTTAAAGACATTTCTAATTTAAACCTATGATTTTGTTTTGTTCATATGGAATTAATGATGTATAAAACATTAAAAAATTTCAAAACGTAATATTTTAGGGTTAATAATTTAAGGGTTGTGGTGGTCTTCCGGAAGTGTCGTCACTAACTGACCATGACCTTCCTCTCGTCTGTCACGTAGTCGTGTGTGTAGACGAGGCACACGAATGATTGTGCAATGTAGGAATAGAGAAATCACCTCGTACAACGACACAGTCTGTTTACTCTGGTAAGTGCTCATTCACATTAATTTCATTGGTGTTTGTTGCACAAACAGATCGTCATTCAGAAGAGAGAGAGACAGTTGAACATGCGTTAGCCGCGAGCTCAGCTAGCATCCGCTTCACAGATCATATCAACTCTTACATTACTGACTAACACTCCTAATGTAAAGGGTCTATTAATGGATTTTCATGGCCGTCAATGTGTCCATTTAAGTGTGTATTTCTATGGCTGTGTCGGTTTATCTTCTCTAAATTCTGATCTCTGTTTTCCTAATATAAGTTACGTTAATCCCATATACTCGGATTCATTGAGTTAAATCTAGTCAGCTATCTACAGTTCTGGGAAAGCCTTATCTAGTTCTTCTTAACCCCCCGAACTGGTTTCTGCTCACCTTTTGAGGAGATTATTAGTGATCTGCTTGCTAAGAGAGAGTTCTCCAGCTGTCAATCATCTGACATGTGTAGGTGTGCAGCTTTGAGTCATATCTGCCATTCATACACCGGGTTATGCACACGCAGAGTTAAAGGGATAGTTCACTTTGAAATTAATTTGTGATATGTTTTAGCTTACCTCAAGGTCATTCAAGATGTCGGTGTCTTTGTTTCCACAGTATTTTCAATTTTTATATTTTTAGGTCAAACCGTTCTTGTCTGTCAGTCATATAATGGAGGTCTATGGTCACCACCTCAAGGAGCATGCACAGAGAAGTCCAGATTAAACATGATTTAATGACTGGTGAATGTAATTGATGGCCTAAGACACGAAACGAGCGGTTTGTGTGATAAAACGAACAGTATTTATATCGTTTTTACCACGTGTAACCACAGTCACATCCAACTGATCTGAGGACGCGGGCTCTTCGGTCTGCGCAAGCGCCGGAAGTGGGGAACGGTTTGACCTAAAAATATCAAAATTGAAAATACTGTGGAAACAAAGACACCTACATCTTGGATGCCCTTGATAAAACATATCAAAAATGAATTTCAAAGTGAACTATCCCTTTAAGAGTTTCCCATGCCTGTCGTGTAGATCTCAATTATTAGCTGTTTTTGTCTTTTGTTTCAGGTTTTAGCAGGTTGAGTGGGAACAATGGTGAAGTATTTCAGCTGTACAGGCTGCCTGAAGAGCTCTTGGGACCAAGTGTTTCTGGCCTTCTGGCAGAGATACCCCAACCCTTACAGGTACTGTTACCTTACAACACATACTCATCATGCTATTATATATTAATATACCCCAACCCTTACAGGTGCTTTTACAACACATATTCATTTGTATATTTAACTTAATTTAGTTTTTTTATTGCCCAGTAATCATGTTTTAACGGAAGACATCATATTCCGGGAAGTTACTCCCGACAACTGCCTGATGTCCAGACGTCTCTTGACCAAAACCAGCCGGGCCCCTCGCTGGGCGGAGAGGTTTCTGCCCGCACACATGGCCCAGAAGGCCTACATCATCGAGGACTCAGTGGTGGATCCTCAGGGCCGGACCATGACCACCCTCACCTGGAACATCACCCACGCTCGAGTGATGGTGCGCCGTCTCACACACACACACATAGGGGTGTGCGATATGACGATTTTTAATCGTGGACGATTAAAATGTCTCCACGATCTGCTTTTGAAGAAATATCGTAGTATCGTGTTACAGTGCATTCTATCAGTTCAGTTCTGGCGCCCCGTCTCAACTGTACAACGCGACGTAGCCTACACATGATCACACGTTAATGAACAGGTATGGGACACTGCAATTCACAAAAGTTCATTTTTGCATAAGCCTTGCCGGTTAAACATTTAATTCACGCGCTGATGCGCTGTTCTAACGTGCGCTTTCCTGACCGCATAAATTACCCCCGACAATCACAGGCACTAGAAGTCTGTCAAACAGCGCCTGAATACTGGACTAAGTTATCTTTCGAGTCTTATTATGCTAATACTGTTAAATACACACAATGTTTACATAAACAGGCTATGTCTAAAGTGAAAGCAAACATTTGAGAGAATATCTGGTGTAAGATGCGTCTATATTAAACACGTCGTGTGCTGGTCTAAAAGCCACAGGAATAAATAGTACTGCCGCATGTCCTTAAAGGGATAGTTCACAAAATAATAATAATAATAATAATAATCTGTCATTATTTACTCACTCTAATGTTGTTCCAAACCTGTATTAATTTCTTTCTTGTGCTGAACACAAAAGACGATTTTTTTTAATGTGGGTAACCAAACAGTTGCTGGTCCCCATTAACTTACAGGAGAGAACCTATAAAAAAAACTATAAGGAGACCAGCAACTGTTCGGTTACCCACATTATTCAAAATAACTTTTATTTTCAACAGAAGAAAGAAACTTATTCGGGTTTAAAACATCTTGAGAGAGTAAATTAAGACCATTTTCATTTTGAGGGAACTATCTCTTTAGTAAAAAAAAAAAAAAAAACACAAGGAGAAAATCACTCACTGACTGAGAACTTTAATAGTAGCTTTAATAAGAATCAATTCATTCAGTGAAGTCTCTGTAGTGTTTTAATTTCATATTTGTTTAATTTAATTACTTTCTTCAATGCTACTGCTAAATACACCTAGTGCATCTGAAAAATAAAGCACTATTTATTTAATTTGAATATTAATTTGTGTAATGTTTATCTTGTCTTATTTTTTTTAATAACAAAGAAAATGATGACAAAGATTTTTATCTTCGCCACTGGCCTAAATGTATGCCTTTGATACCTAAGGCTTTGTTTTTAACATAAGGACATTAGTTTGGCTGTAATGAACAGCCACTTGCAAAATATTAAATCCAACTTGAAAAAGAATCGTGATAAAAAATCGTGATCGTGATTTTCCTAACAAAAAATCGGGATATGATATTTTTTCCATATCGCCCACCCCTACACACACACACACACACACACACACTCGGTTACAAACTCTTGATGTGTTTCAGGCTCCACTAGAGCAGGTTTTCCTGCTTGAATGTTGATTATTCTCCTCATATTCTCCATTGTTGCGGCTCCTCTCTCCCCAGTCTGTCAGTAACGCTCTGTTCACTTCCCTTCTCTATGAAGCCCCTCCTTCTGAAAGCACACTGTTCTCTGATTGGTCGGCTGGAGCCATGTGTTGTGATTGGTTGAGCGCTTCGAGTGTGTTTGGGAAACATCCCGCCCCTTTCCATAACCACCAGTTTAACACACTACTAACTAACTCAACAAGGCCCCGCCCCTTTATTCTGCGCATGAATTATTATAATGAGGAATAGTGTGACGTGTTGAAGGCAATGAAGGTGTTTCAGGAGTTCAGAAACACTGAGATGATCTGTGTGTGTGTGTGTGTGTGTAGAGCGTGCAGGAACGGTGTGTGTATAAGGTGAACCCTGAGAACAGCAGCTGGACGGAGATCCAGAGAGAGGCCTGGGTTTCCTCCAGACTGTACGGCCTCTCTAAAGCGGTTCAGGTCAGTGGGCGAGTGTGTGAAGATTTATTTATTTATTTAAGATTTATCACTTTTATTATTATCAAAGAAATCATGATGCATGTTTTTCAGGATTCTTTGATGATTAGAAATGTATTTAAAAATGTGTAAATATGAAGTAAGATGCGTTTGAGCCAGATTGTTCAGTCTGGATGTTCATGTGTGGTGTGCAGTTCACTCGTCTCTCTGTATGCTTGAGCGTTTCCATCTTTATCCCGTTCTCAGGAATTCGGACTTGCCCGGTTTAAGAGCAACGTTACCAAGACCATGAAGGGCTTTGAGTTCATCCTGGCCAAGATGCAGGGTAAGACGGCAGCCAGAGTTCAAGTGTACAGTAGTGGTTTTTGAGGAACACACTCCAGGATGTTTCTCCATATAGTGTCTTCAATGGGGTCAAAGGTCAGATGTGAGTTTCAGCTTCAGAGTCTCGACACGATCCAGCCGAGGAATAAGAGTGATACACAAAATACACATTTATATACTTTATAACCACTAATGCTGGTCTGCACTCGCTGTGATGCGACACACGTTACAGTAATCAGGGTGAAAGGTCAAGCGTGACATAGGCGTAAGAAGAGAACCCAGTGTTTACAAAGCGAACGAAGTCAAACGGCATTTACAAAATAAATAAACAAATAAAGGCCTGTTCACACCGGGACGAATTTCGCGCGCGATATTCGTCGACGTTTAACGCCTCGTGACTAAACAATGGGCGCCGATGTGAGTGTTCACACCGATGCGGAAAACGCCACGCGTAAAAGCGTCATTTTTTTAAAAACGCCTCGGGTTTGTTTTTTTTGGTTTGACGCGCCGCGTCAAAACCTATCCGACCAACGAGATTGGCGGGTTTGCTCACGTGTCTGGTACTTCTGAAGTTACAGTAAAACACAACTTGGGGGCGCTCAAACACAAAACGGTCTTGCCGAGCACACATACGGCGAACAAGAGATACGATACCTATGGGCAAGATGATGAGCTGCTGGTCTCGGAGCATAAAGAGCTATAAGATAATATTTTTATTAGTATTTCTGTAATAACAGTATAGTATAGGGTGACCAACAGTCCTGTTTTCCCGGCACATGTGTAAAACGGTCACTTTGTGCTTTATAGAAATCTGAGTTGAGATGAGAACTGCGTAGTGTCAGTTAGATTTTGACAAGTGAGGAGAGGAGATAACCGCTCTGCCGACTCTTTGTATTCTTTCTTTTATTTTATTTTTCTATTGTGACCAGATGTTTGTTTGTGTTTTGTCCATGCATGAGGAGGACGAGTGTGACGTTTGAGTGGTTTTACTAAACGCGGGGAAATACGACAACTCTCGTCTCTCGTGCATCTGTTCATCCGACAACGGCTATGTTTTTATCTCTGGGCAACATCTCAACTTTGCGTTACACACGTCCTGTTTCCACGTCCTGTCCTGACTGTTTTTAAGTGATGAAAATGTCCTGGTTTTCAAAAAAAAAAAAAACTGCTGGGAAAGATCAGTTCTACAGCAAAATATAGATGGACAAACAAGGTGGACGAGGAAGAAAAACAAGATAAAGACAATGAAAACTAAAGATATACATAGATTTTGTTAGTTCGTTTTTGTAAGTTTGTGAGAGCTATTTTTTGTTACATTTGGAGGCATTTCGTTTAGTTATTTATTATTTATATATTTATCTTTCTAATACAGAAGACATTATTTCTATCATTATTTCATTCGTTTTTTTTAATCTGTCATAATAAAACATTGAGACATGAATATGATCACCCTAGAATAGTATTTCTGTTTTACATTAAGCGCCATCTAATGTCAGGGAATGAATTTGCATGTTCGCTCGGCTCATCGTCAGCGAAAAACGCTTGGGTGTGAACACAAAAAACGCCGACGAATAACGCGCGCTGATATTCGTCCCGGTGCGATAAGATAAAACAACGATGTTGGAGGAGAAAATGAGATGGCGTTTTTCATCCTTCCCTTCATGTATAAACCGGAACCCGCTTGACCTTTCACCCTGATTACTGGAACGTGTGTCGCATCACAGCGAGTGCAGACCAGCATTAGTGGTTATTAAGTATATAAATGTGTGTTTTGTTGTAAATGTCACTGGTTTGTCTCGATCAGACTCTTATTCCTCGGCTGGATCGTGTCGAGACTCTGAAGCTGAAACTCACATCTGACCTTTGACCCCATTGAAGACACTATATGGAGAAACATCCTCACAAACCTTCATTTCTGTAAACTATCAGGGAAAGTTAATTGTGAAGTGAAGTCCTGCTGTAAGTGTTGCATCTGGTTCTCCTGCAGGTGAAGCTCCCGCACGGACGCTAGCTGAGACCGCGACAGTGAAGGCTCGTGAGACTGCGCTCGCGGCTAAAGTGAAAGCTAAGGATCTAGCCTCTCAAGCGCAGAAGAAGCAGTATGTATGATGAAGAAACACACGCTCTTCCAGCGCTGACGGCTCGTGTCATTCCCGCACATTTGGACACGAGGGGCATTATCCTCTGGATCTCGTATGGATTTAGTGAAACCAACGTGCTCTTCGACTGAAACCTCCCGTGACCTCGGTTTCATCGAGTCAGATTTTACATGAGACTTTGCATTGTTTTGATTGCTAATTTAATTTTTCAGATTTTGTTGTACTTCCATCATTATCTCCTTGAATCTTCATGTTCACTCAATGTGATTTGCTGCTTCAAATTGAAGTTCTATCATTGACGGTCCACAGTTCCAGCAGTCATTGCCGGCGACATTACAAGTGATTCATTGTGAAAATAATGAATGATTACGGCTTGTGAAAGTCGTCTCAGAATGCCTGATTTCGAGTGTTTGAAACAAGAAATGCATTTAATGCAAAGGAGAGAGACAAGGTTTTATAACTCTTAACAATTGTTTGTGTTCAACCGTTATCACCAATAAATATTTTCTATATATCTGACAGATTGTTCTCTTATTTGTGATTTCCTCTGCACTGTGATGATCACTATTGTTATGAATCAATGCCAGTGTTTGTAACACAAACCAAAGTCTTCATGAAAGGGAAGTTGCGCTGGTCTTTTCTCATCTATTGTGTCGTATATCCCTATAGAAGCCTGTTTCCGCCACTGAATAAGAAAAAAGAAAAAATAATTGCGACTTTTTATCTCACAATTGTGAGAAATGAAGTCAGAATTGCGAGATAAAGTCAGAATTCTGAGATATAAAGTCAGAATTGCAAGATATAAAGTCGCAATTCTGAGAAAAGACAGAAGTGTGACTAACACATAATTGCGAGTTTATATGTCGAAATTCTAACATCTTTCTCAGAATTGTGAGATATAAACTCGCAATGGCGAGTTATCAGGCCAATTCTAAGGAAAAATACTTTTTTCCCCTCAGAATAGTTTATATTTCCCAATTCTGACTTTACAACACGCAATTCTGACATATCTCGCAATTCTGACTTTATATCACACAATTCTGACTTTATATCTCGCAATTCTGACTTTATATCTCGCAATTCTGACTTTATCTTGTAATTCTGACTTTATATCTCACAATTCTGACTTTATCTTGTAATTCTGACTTTATATCTCACAATTCTGACTTTATATCTCACAATTCTGACTTTATATCTCGCAATTCTGACTTTATATCTCGCAATTCTGACTTTATATCTCGCAATTCTGACTTTATCTTGTAATTCTGACTTTATATCTCACAATTCTGACTTTATATCTCACAATTCTGACTTTATATCTCGCAATTCTGACTTTATATCTCGCAATTCTGACTTTATATCTCGCAATTCTGACTTTATATCATGCAATTCTGACTTTATATCTCGCAATTCTGACTTTATATCACGCAATTCTGACTTTATCTTGTAATTCTGACTTTATATCACAAAATTGCGACTTTTATATCACAATTCTGACTTTTTATCTCGCAATTCTGACTATATCTAGCAGTTCTGACTTTATATCTCGCAATTCTGACTTTATATCTCGCAATTCTGACTTTATCTTGTAATTCTGACTTTATATCTCACAATTCTGACTTTATATCTCACAATTCTGACTTTATATCTCGCAATTCTGACTTTATATCTCGCAATTCTGACTTTATATCTCGCAATTCTGACTTTATATCACGCAATTCTGACTTTATCTTGTAATTCTGACTTTATATCACAAAATTGCGACTTTTATATCACAATTCTGACTTTTTATCTCGCAATTCTGACTATATCTAGCAGTTCTGACTTTTTATCTTGTAATTCTGACTTTATATCACAAAATTGCGACTTTATATCACAATTCTGACTTTATATCTTGTAATTCTGACTTTATATCACAAAATTGCGACTATATCACGCAATTCTGACTTTATATCTCGCAATTCGGACTTTATATTTTGTAATTCTGACTTTATATCACAAAATTGCGAATTTATATCACAATTCTGACTTTATATCTCGCAATTCTGACTTTATATCTCGCAATTCTGACTTTATATCTTGTAATTATGACTTTATAAAACAAAATTGCGACTATATCTCGCAATTCTGACATATCTCGCAATTCTGACTTTATATTTCGCTATTCTGACTTTATATCACATAATTCTGACTTTATATCTCGCAGTTCTGACTTTATATCATGCAATTCTGACTTTATATCCCGCAATTCTGACTTTATATCTCGCAATTCTGACTTTATATCTCGCAATTCTGACTTTATATCCCGCAATTGTGACTTTATATCCCGCAATTGTGACTTTATATCACGAAAATCTGACTTGGTTTGCTATTGGCGAGATTACCAGGAACATGAGTTTAAAGGTGTTGCCATGATAAGGATGCAGTCAAAACAACATGGAACATGGAAAATGACAAAAAGTTTGAAACTTGTATTTTGAAACTCTAATTTTAAAACCTTTGTTTTACATAAAATAAAATAAAACACAATAGCACTTAAATAATAAGCAAAAAAAAAAACAACAGCAAAATATGTGATGTTTAAAGTAATTTTTCCTTATTCGTATGATTGAATTGGACCATTAGCCTGGCTGCGCCCTCCTACGCACTTCCGCTCAATTTCATTTTTGTACTAGAGTCTGGTTGAACCAGGCTACATTAACGTCCTCCTGTGGTGTAAATCCAGCTTTTAATGTTGTTTATGTGTGTATGTGGTGTGTTTAATCCGCTTTAACACACACCATGTGTAAGTTGATAAGTGGACAGCATTGCTGAGTATTTCCTCCTTAAAACTGCAGTGAACCAAAGACAGTCTCAAAAACACGCTTTGGTGTTTCTGACGTCACAAACCACCTTGTAACCAATCAGATCAACGTGTGATCGTCAACCAGTGAGTGGGGATGGGGCTCATTTGCACTCGTGGGTGTCGAGTTACATTCAAGAAACATAAAGGCAAAAACAATGCTAAATGTAATTTTGCTGAGTTTTAAGGGATACAATTATTGCCTATAAAGTCAGATTAAATACAGTGTTATTTAGCATTTAATTATTGCAGGTTTGTGAAATAATCTGTTTTCATTAATTCCTTGTAATAGTAAATCCGTATTGAGCAAGTGATACAATTAAATGCATGCTTACGTTGTACGTACAACACACATCATATCCCTCTCAACAAGAGGAAACAGTGGAGCTGTCCGTTAATACACAGGAAACAAAGTTACTTATTTAAAAATGTAACACATTTTGTAGTAAATTTAAAAGTGTGTCTTAAAAGTAATCTGATTACATAACTACTCAAGTTACTAATAATTTGTTACTACCAACACTGGTCACGATAGTAACTATAAATAACGCATAATATATGCAACTAACCACTAATAACATACTTAAGACCGTAATAACAAGGACACATTTAGAAATTGTTTATAATAACATGCAATATTCCGGCAACTTTTCCCAGAAATGAAAAATATTTCAAAGATTAACATGTTCCCGGCGGATTTGATACGAAGCTGTTTAACGTGTCGCATTCAAGTTTACAATTCCATATGCATAACAAAATACAAAAAACACAAGCCAAATTAAATACATAAAATATTTATTTGTACAAAATGCTTATGTTGGTAAAAAAGAATAAAATGCTACATATGAGTACAAGGAGACATAAATACAAAGGTGTTCCTGGTCCAATGACATACAAATCGTTCATAAGGCTTTTGGTGTTCAGAACTGTACATCAACACAATTACTGTACAAACATCTTAAACTAAAGGCATGTTCATAATAGTTTGCATAAATGACTGATATGAGCATATACTGAACAGTTCATGAATACATCCGGTGTATTTTGTCGAGACTACCAACTGGATTGCGGTTCCTAAAATCATGAGAGACTAACACATCTTAGAGGGAAATCCACTATACAAATGAGGAAAAGAAGAGTATAAAGACTTAAAAACACTTCACTGTTGTGTGTGTGTGAACAGCACCAACTTCAGTCCAGCAGAGTGAACCAAAGCACAGGATTATTACAACTGCACCTTCACCAGCACACACTCGCAGAAGAGGAGAGGAAACCAAACGCACGGTTGCAAAGAAAGCATCATTTCCTTCTGAATTAATTAGCTTCCCCCAATTATTATTTATTTTCAATGAGATAATCTGCAATCTCACACATTAGGACCAACACACGCATCTAAAGAGACATCGCAAGTGCTCATGCGTACGCTTTGTGCAACGTATCAAAACTCAGAGTTAAATAAGCCGGTATTGAGACATGTAAGTGCAAGCGGAGTGAGCGGCGGCCGACGATGAAGAGGAGGAAGAGGAGAGTTACATCATCGCCCGAGTGTGTGTGTCGCAGACAGAGCACCACAGCACAGTGTATTCCAGTCGTGCTCAGGAGGCGTCTGCTGAGGTGTTCAGTGTCGGGAACACAAGGCTGTTCTGTGGTGATGAAGATGAAGATGAGCGTCAGTCATAACCAGCTGTGCTCAGATGAAGAGTAACTGTGGTCCACTCCGGTGTGAGACGAGACCAGAGCGTCACACTCCAGCGTCCACACCATGCTCTCCACGTCTATCTCCACGTCCTCTGCAAACACACACATCAGATCGGTGTTACACACACTGTAGAGCCAGACCGATATTAGGCATTTCCCAAACTATCGGTATCGGCAGTTATAATGGCCGATAAATTAATATTTCAATATTCAACGAAACACGCTTGAACCACGTCATGAGTGTTGGAGTTGTGTAGTTTGTCCACCAGAGGGCGCTCTACACTCGTTGAGTTGGGCACGAGACATACATCGCTTGATTAACAATTAAAAGATCATCCCCATCAGTTCTCTTAACTCAAATAAGCATGACAACATTCGTGACCATCATGTCCAGTTTTGCTGCTGTTAAATAAGCCGAGAGTGAAGCGGAATTAGCTAATAGTTACGTTACGTTGTTACAGTGTAGTCCTTTTAACTTTTGACGATGTGACGGAAGTATTTCTTTAATAGTGTGTGACAGTTATAGCAATGAGACGCATCATCTCTCCTCGACCTGTTATATTGAAAATGTATTACAATTTGCAGTATGACGTTATCCATTGCTAAATTATGACTCATCATAGACTAGCTAGCTAACGCCACTATCGTCAGTCTGTTCTGTCGTGACAATAAAAGAAACAAGTTTCTTTTTAAAAAGTATTATCATATTATTTTAGTTAAAACTCATAAATAACTACAAATAACTCATGTTAGGGAAATCTGTTGGGTTTTTTTTGCGCGTTTCTGAAAAATAAATAAATAAATAAAAATATCGGCCGATATATTGGAATATCGGATTTTAAAACCAACAAATATTTGTATCGGGATCGGCCTTCTAGTCCACACCATACTCCTCTCCACGTCACTGTCTTAATGAGTGAGTCATTGAATCATTCACTCAACTGATTCATTCACTCAACTGATTCATTCCAGAACGAACCAACCATAAACATCATATAGAGACTAGAAACCGAGCTGGAAACCGAGAAATCCGGCCGCCAACTTGAACAGGTCGTCCTCCTAGTGTCGTTGCGTGGCAGTAGAGGAGATGCCAGAATATTGTGGAGCATTTTCCTGTTTTAATCGCCGGACCACCGAAAATAGGGCTTAACAAGTTTAATAAGTAAAAACTACACAAGTAAGTCTTAACCACTTAACTGTCACCGTCCCACAGGTGGGACGTTTGCCACTATATTTTTAAAACAATAATATCTTAGTAAATACCTTAAATAATATTGACAAACTATATATCATTTGAAAGCTTACAATCTCTAGTTTCCATATTTGGTGACTGATTTTCAAAATATATTACAGAGGAGCCATAATTTATCAATATAAAACAAGAATATTTTCATACTCATAAGGCGTGTTCAGACCTTTATTTTAAAATAGCAGTAAACATGAAAAATCATGAAAAAATGGTAGATACCTCAGTTTGTTTTCATGCCAAAAGTTCAAAAGATAGAATCCATTCAATTATTTTTGAAAAAAAAAGGTCTGAAAAGTTTGAAATATCAAGAAAAAAATAATAAATTCACCATTTGTGACGTGTCAGCTAGCTATGACTTACATGCGTGTTCTTTGTATGTGTTTCTTAGAGGTTCAATTCATATCAAAATCTGCCAAACTTCCCATGCTACTTCTGAATAGGATCTCTACTTCAGAAATTGTATGAAAATTGTGAAAATAATGGTTCATATCACTCAAAACACGAATGGAAATGCAGGCGCCCTTATATGGGCAGTAATGGAGTCTGATTGTGCCCTAGTGAAAAAGTTTGGTACTGCGCTCAAACAAAATCTTACTGAAAGCTCATTTTTTGAGATATCAACCTAAAATTTGAAACACAACTTGTTCAGATTTTTGGCTTTGATCTTTCTGCCATTTTAGAGTAGCCCAGGTTTTGAAAATATATATTTTATGTAAAATATGAATAATTAATATTTTTACATTGTACATTTCCATAAACTCAAACTTCTATAACTTTTTTTCTGTTTCACTTTCTTAATTTATTTCACTTCTACAAAAATCTGCCAAATGTCTTCTTTAAAACAAGACCAATCATATGTCTATATTCCAAAGCATTCTTGAATTACAACCATTTAAGTTCGAAATGTGCATTTTCATGTCTATTCAAAAAAGGGGGGGTGACAGTTAACAGGTTAACATTACCGTACTATTGGTTGTATTTTATGAATAGAATATTACCAGATAATCGAGAAGGAGCAAGGATATTTGCTATTACTGTACTGGAATCGTTGTGAAATGCTGTTTACTGCATCAGCCGGTGTTCACCCAGCATGGAGAGGTGGGGGAACTGTTAAAGTAATAATTACAAGAGCTTCTAGGTTATCAGATAAGATAAGTAACTGCCCTGTTGTAGCCTATAGGTTATTTGCATTTGCGCACATGATATCAGGAAGCAGTGTTAATACACGCATGACAGCGATAAGATAATTAAGTTACCCCTACAACTTCTAGGTTTATTGATAACCATAAGTTATCAGGACACCCCTATGTTAAATTCCCATAGAGTCAGGCAGATTTTTATTTTTAAAAGCCAGTTATTTCATGGATCCAGGATAATATGCATCCTGATAAAGTTCCCTTGGCCTTTGGGATTAAAATATCCCCACATCATCACACACTATCCATTAAATAACTGGCTTTTAAAAATAAAAAATCTATGGGAATTTAACATAGGGGTGCCGTGACTTACGCACCCTGTATTTTAAGGAAAAACATTTTTTTATTTATGATACATTATTCATTCATAAAGAAAATTTGTGTCCTTAAAGGTTGGAGTTTTCCTCATTTTTCTATTTAAAGCATTAAGATCAATATCCAAAAGATGATTTTTTATTCCTCTTTTTAGGCAACTTTAGCATGGGTGTCCAAACTTATTCACATCACTGTATCTTATCACGTGCGATTTGGCTATTGATATTACAGAAGTCCTGTGGTAAAATTACATTATTAACTTACTCCATCTACCCTTGTAAAGTCAATCCGAATATGGCTTTAGTCTCGACATTTCCCCCTCCTACATCCACAAATCAATAAAATAGGTATAGGCTTAATGTTGTCTAATGATATCTATGGAACCAACTGCCAGACATCACTGAATCATTGAATCATTGACTCATTCGATTCATTAAGAACCCTGGATTCATTTAGCGGTGAAACACCGCAGTGTGACGCATGCACTTTTATGATGGACAGATGAGTAAATGAAAAATCATTTAAATACAGGCGATGGGTGAGTAAATCATGGGCTAATTTTCATTTTAGGAAGCTCATGCATGACCCTCGCGAGCTGTGTGTGTGTGTGTGTGTGTGTGATGGTCACCTCTCTCCGAGTCGGATCTCTCCGAGGACACGGTGGAGCCCAGGCTGTCGTTCCTCATGCGCTCGGATCCGCCCTGCAGTTTCTCCAGACGCAGACGTAACTCTCTCTGCTCCCAGCGCAGACGGCCCTTCAGCAGCTCCGAGCGCTCGTCCTGCTCCTGCAGCTTCTGCACACACACACACACACACACACACACCACATCTCTCTAATCCACCAATCTGAAAACACTCAGAGTAATGTTGTGTTGTTGTATGTTGTTGTTATAACTATATACGTGTTTATGATTGTCGGATGTCATGTGGGAGACACATGACTGCCATTAGGGCACATTAGGGACAGTAACTTGCTTTGCTTAATTAATTTAATAATACACACAACCATTCATGCTCAAATGAGATGTGCTCGATATATGGAAAACACAGTAAACTCACAGAGGTCATCACATACATAAAAGATGCAACTTTACATTAATGAAATAAAAGAAATATTTTATATTAAAGTCCCCCTGTGGTGTAAATCCAGCGTTTAATGTTGTTCATGTGTGTGTGTGGTGTGTTTAATCCGCTTTAACACACACCGTGTGTAAGTTGATAAGAGTATTTCCTCCTTAAAACTGCAGTGAACCAAAGACAGTCTCAAAAACACGCTGACGTCACAAACCACCTTGAAACCAGTCAGATCAACGTGTGATCGTCAACCAGTGAGTGGAGGCGGGGCTCATTTGCATATTCATAGAATGAGGCGAGGGTGTCGGGTTACAGTCAAGATATTTTATTTAAATTAAGACATTTTTTTCAAGGAAAACTTTAAATATGTAATTTTGGTGATTAAAAACGAGTTTAAGGGATCTAATATTGACTACAGGGGGACTTTAACGCAGTGGCGAAACAAATAATCAAATTATATTTATTTACACAGTGAAAGTACCAGTGTAAATAGTAAGATGCCATTTATACTATAAGGGTGCAAATAGTATTGACATGTATATTGTAGTACATTACAAAACATATTAATATCCTTAAAGCCGTTCCCTACACCTACACAATAAACCCTCTATTATCATTATTAAATACCCGTTTGGTGCTTTATTTCCACTTTTTTGAATAGTTTGAGGTTTATTTAAAATAAAGGCCTCTCTGAGCTGATATGTGATGGGAGAAGGCCTCGCAGCGCTCCTGTTATCAGACAGGTTTCTCCTGTCATCTTATCTGCCTCCAGCAGACACACCGCTGATATTTGCACTCGGTGTGAACACACACTGTTTATTTAGCTCTCTCTCTGTGACTCATCTTCAACAAGATCGTCTACGTCACTAAATTGTGTTAAAATGTATTACTATTCATGGTTATTTAAACACTTTAATGGAAATGTGATTTCTTCTGTGAGTGATTGCGATCCTATACATTTTGCATATGAGAATAGAAATCAATGGGGCAAAATAACATTATTTGCTGTCAGATGTGTACACCTTCTCACTTTAAAACATTAAAAACTAGAGCACAACATTAATGTTTCTGATAACATGCCATTTTGCAATTGTATAATGATTGAATTCACTGTTTTGTTTGATACTTTCCTGATTTATTCCAGTGATCTAGGTGTCTTTACTCTTTTGCCCAACAAACTGTAGGTTAAAACAAATGATGTTATGCAAAGAGATGATAATTCATGTGCTCCATTTGAAAATATTAGACTGTCAATGTATTTTGCATATTATTGCTTTTGCTATTATAAAGACATATTAACCCTAAAACCGTATTCTGGACAAATGTGGGCAAAATAGTTTTGATTTATTTTTTAAAAATACTTCCCTTGATCTGAGCGGTACAAGACTTGGCTACTTCTCCTAAGTTTGCCTCCTGAACACACACAATAAAAAAAAATCCTTAATCTTGTATTTGGATCAAAAATGGCCACCCATAGAAATGAATGGGAAAAACTGTAATTTAGAGCAGTCTAAAATAAGCCAAAATAATGACAGCAAAGTCACTTCATCTTTAGGTTTTAGAACTTATTGGAATCATATTTTAATGTAGTTAAAAAATAAAAAAAAAATAAAACATTAAAATAAGCATAATTTACATAGAAAATATGGTACTTTTGAAGAAAATAAATTCAAAAATACCCCCAAAATAAAAATTAAAAAACACCATAAATGGATAGACAAAACTTTATCGAAGACAGTGATATAACATTTATAATAAATAAAAATTAGGATCACACCCGAGTCCTCTGTGCCCACATTTGTCCACAATTACAGGATTAAGGGCTAAAAAGTCAATACGTTTAGACTCAGGGCTACAGTGAATATATCAAAAACATGTTTTTATTATCATGATATGAAGAGGAAAAAACAAAAGTTAGAATAAATATTGGTTCTCTGACATACAAATAATCTGTATGTGTTGATGTTCTGTGCGTTTGAACCATGGACTGTATAATATGTGTGTAGTGTGTGTGTGTGTGACGTCACCCGTGGTGTTTCTGAAGAGCATTATTGACGCCTAATAATCGAAAATGTGCTGAGGTGACATAGCGCTAACACACAGCAGACAAAACGGCTAGCAGTGACATCAGAGCAATCCACCTGTCACTCAAGTGGCCACGCCCTTCATTACACACAACTTTAAGGCGTGATATAATTTAAACAGATGAGTTATTAAAAAAAAAAAATACACCCTCTCACAGTTTTCATGAAGAGCAAAATTAGCGATATAGACCAAAACCACTTTGTGCACCAGACTGTAAACATGTTTATTTCTGCTGTAAAGTTGGTCATTTTAACATGGGGGTTTATGGGAGTGAGTCTCTCTAGTGGCCAGTGGAGGAACTGCAGTCTAACTCCCTCAGTGTCGGACTGAAGAGAGAGACGGGAGGTTCAGAGCTGATGTTTGTCAGCGTGTGGGTGACCCGGCTCACCTTGATGTGCAGCTGGGCTTGTCTGAGCAGGTTCAGGGTTGTGTTTCTCGCAGAATCAGACGACAGAGGAACCTGCTCCTTCAGCTGATCCAGGCAGTGTCTCAGCTGAGCTCTCCTACACACACACACACACACACCTGTTACTCAGTGTTTGAGCACTTCCAGACCACAGTACACGAGTACAGCTGCAACATTCTGTTGTACAGCTCTTTTTGCACATAGCAGAGATATAGATATAGTCACTGTGTTTTCATAGCATTACAGGATGTGGAATAATGTGTTTTGTCAACTATATATATTTAAAAAAAAATCTGATTAGTCAAATAATTGATGAAACAAGCACAAAAAAAATGATTATTAAAATACTGAAGCATTTCAGAGCTTCGTCCTTTTTAATTGGTGCATAAATGCAAATTAACCGGGTAAGGTGTGTTGCTCAATATGCATGAAAGCAATAACACACACTGATGTCTGTGACTGAATTACAGTTCAACAACCGAGTGGAATGAGAGTAAAACACTGATTACCTGTGTTTCTCCAACTCGTTGTGAACAGACCTGAAAAACAGAAACAAATAGCTTAATTTTGCCATAATAGTTGCTCATATTCAGGGTCTCAGATATTGACATGTTCACATTGAAAATCATAAAGTAAAGAAGTTGACTATAAATGTAGGGTTTCATCTTGGACACAACTATCAATCATGCATTCACACAAATAGCAAAAGTGAAGGATCGGAGTACAATAAAATTAAATATTTTATGAATATCAACAATCTCGTTGGTCCCACTACACTCACCTGCTGTTCCCGGGTGAAAGGCTCTTTGACTTCTGCTTTTTCCTCTTGTCTGAATCTCCTTTGCTGTAGAATGGAAGCACTGAGGCATAACCGTGCTCAGCCTCTGGAAATATACAATACACAACAACATGAGCCCAGCAAACTTCCCTTCGTGCGAGATCCTTAAATAGAAGCTGTTTACACTGACATTATAAATCTGGAGACAGCAGGAGTCTGCCATCTAATCTGCTCTGTGTGTGTGTGTGTCAGCATCTCATCAAATCAGCTGTGTGTGTGAGCGCTTTCTGATTTTGGCGCCATCGAACTACTTGACATAATTTTGAAATCAGCGCGTTCCATTCTGTGATCTGAATCCGTTACACATGACGTGTGTGCTGATACACTGTAACTCGCTGCGGAATAACGGCAGCGCTGCTACATTTTCAAATACGTGACGATTTCGCGCCTTATTGTGTACAATACAGAACTGAAATGTAGGTCACAGAGCCAAACACAATAATATCAGCAATAAAAGCTCTTTTCACCACTCTACAAACACACTAAATAAACATGTGCAATGAGGGAAACACTCCCGACACATACACGAATAATTAGTTAACGCAAATATTACCGAAGGTGTATAAAAACACACAAACAGCGGCAGACTGTCCGAAACGGCTTCGGTTTCAATGCAAACAAGCTGAGGAGGAAATAGCGCGACTAATAACGTTACCTCTTTCCTTCCGCTCCAGGTATTCGGCTGCCTGCAGGAGCACTTGGATGTTGCACGAATTTACCTCCATTTCTGACAAACAATGTTGTTTTGAAAGCGCCAAGAGCGACACGGATCTATTGATCTAAACAGTGGAGAGTTCGGCTGATACAGCGCGCCACGTCACAACGCGTCATTACGCGTCGGACGCGTCACGCCCTCTTCCACGCTCGCGCGACCGCTCCCTCCTCACACAAAAACAACTAGTGTTTACGCTTAGCTTCTTCAAATAAAGTAGAGGACAGTTTACACTAGAGATTAGGGGCGAATATTATTTCTCACAAACTCGTGAGTGAACTATCAAAACTGACCGATCACAGGACAAAATGCGGACTTTTATTTTGACACTCGTTTTTGACTTTAGAACATTGCAAAAATAGACATAAAATCGCATATAACTGCAAACATAGTTTTTATGTATGTAGACGGTCTCTCTAAAAAATTGTCATTGAGGTTAAACGTTTTTATTTTCTTGGGTAAATATCATATGCTTAAAAGCAAGTGGAACAATGGTAAACCCTCTTTAACTTGTTTTAAAAATTAATTTTCATTTAGCATCCATTAAATACTTATCCAAAGATAATCAGTCCCTCTGTAAACTGTATAAAACATGTATGAGTCTCTTTCTTTCTAATTTTTTTGTGTCTAAAATTTATTTATTTTTTTCCTTGCAATTTGTAACCCCCTTAAATGTTTGAATTATGCTTTTGATTATTGTACTAATTATGCTTTTTTTTTTTTCGTTCTATGAACCTATGTAAGCAAAGGCGTATATGCACTGATATACGATTGGTTTATTTTTGTCTGCATAGTATTGTTCCCTATTTGAGTTTGTAAATTGATAGTGTTTCAAAAAAAAATAAAATAAAATATATATATATATATATATATATATATGTCTCTCTCTCTCTCTCTCTCTCTCTCTCTCTCTCTATATATATATATATATATATATATATATATATATATATATATATATATATATATATATATGTAACACTTAGGTTAATTAGTAAACATTACTTACCTACCTTAGTTAACATGAACCAAGAATGAACCATACTTATTCAGCATTTATTCATCTTAGTATATTAATTTCAACATTCACTAATACGTTATTAAAACAAAGGTTGTATTTGTTAACATTAGTTAATATGCACTGTGAACTAACATGAACAAACAATTAACAGCTGCATTTTTACTAACTAACATTAACAAACATTAATAAATACTTTACCAAATGTATAGCTCATTGTTAGTTCATGTTAATTAGTACATCAAATCATGTTAACTAATAATCCTTATTGTAAAGTGTTAAACCCATATTTTAAACAATTATATTTAGCGTGTACTAAAAATAATAGAAATCGAATGGAATTAAAATGAATTATTCTGATAAAATACAAATTCGTAAATAATAATAATTAAGTCGAGCCATTTGTGTAAACAGATATCAGCTAAAAATAAAGGTGCGGATAAACAGATAAAGTGATGAACCGATGAGGTGAGAACGCAGAGGGCTTTTATTTTGTTAAACGTTTTTATTGACGCTCAAGAACACACAAAAATGAAACTTTCATGACACGGCTTTCACGAATAAAAAATAATATATATATATACAATAGTCATTCATTAACTAACATGTAACAGAAGCCTAGGCCTACATGTTATAAAATACATGTCAGGGAAATGAAACATGGTTGTATCTCTTTCAATGAACAATAACAACAACAAAAACATATCCTGGATTTGCGTACTTCAATATATATATATATATATATATATATATATATATATATATATATATATATATATATATATATATTACTCTGAAAAGAAAAGAAAAAAAGGTGAAGAGAAGCACAAAAAATACGGTTAGATAATATTAAATAACAAGTCGTCATAATGCATCAAACATTTTAAGGGATGAACTAAAAGAGTTAAATTCAGCAAGAAAGGGAGGAAAGTGTAAAGACTTTCCTAAGCCATTTTTGCTTGTGAATGAAGCATTTCGCATTTTACAGATTAACAACAACCATAGATATATACACTAGACCTCACCTTGGCTACGGCAGTTCATTGGAACGAGCCGCCATCTTGAAACAGGGATCCCCTCCACTTTAATGCATCAGCGTCAATGTAGTAAACACAGGTCTAACGGAAATAAAATCACCATAAATCATCACGAATGCGATTTTTCTTGTTTTTTTGGTTTGTTCCAACGGTCAGACATGTATTTATCATTGATTCCAGAAAGAATTTTTTTTTTTTTTTTAAACATTCTTCCTAGTTCAGATTTCATCCGTGAACATCATACGCTGCACAAAAGTCCGCCACTATCAATGAATTCGAAGTAAAGGCAGAGATAGCTGCGTTACCTAGCTACTTCCTATGACAACACCCCTGTTCCAAGATGGCGGCGGTTTTGACGCATGCTTAGAACCCCAAGGTGAGGTCTAGTGTATATATCTATGAGCAACAACATAGCTCGTCTTGCACCGGAAGTGACGTCCCTCGCGTCAGTTTGTTATGCGCACCAGCTGACCATCAGCCAGAACCTCCAGCCAGCTCTGCTGTGCTCACATACGCATTACCATTCCCCTGAATCACGAACATAACATCGTTATCGCAGTATGAGGAGTACATCGTGTCGGGACAGTGAGTGTGTGTGTGAATGAAGACCGCGGAGGGTCCGGTCCGTCGCGCGCAGCATCGAGCCACGAAACCCAGGCCTGCGCCAGTGTTTACATAATTATATCATACGATCATGGAAGCGATTCCCTGCTTCGGAAGTACTTTGCTGGATGTTAGTCTCGCTGGAGACATATAAGCGCGTCGTGATAGCGTACTGCCAACGAGAAACATGTGGTGGAAGCTGTTCTTTTTGCTCCTGTATTTCTTCATGCTGTTCATCCTGGCTCGGTTCTTCGAAGCCGTCGTCTGGTACGAGACTGGGATCTTCGCCACACAGCTGGTGGACCCAGTGACGCTGAGCTTCCGGAGGCTGAAGACCATCCTGGAGTGCCGGGGTCTGGGTTACTCGGGCCTGGCGGAGAAGAGGGATGTGCGGGAGCTGGTGGAGAACTCGGGTGAGTGTGTGTGTGTGTGTTGTGTTTGAGTCGCACACACGCGTGTTCTGTGATGTGTGGACTGATTTTTACCCGTGTTTTGCTCCTGAAGGTGAGCTGATGCAAGGCGAGCTGTATTCTGCTATCAAGAACGAGGAACAACAGACTGGGTCTGACTCCAGCACATCTTTCAGCGGAGAAATGCACTTCTATGAGTTGGTGGAGGACACTAAAGATGGCATCTGGCTAGTTCAGGTGAGTAGTACTGATCTAATCGTGGGAAACTTTCATTTACAGGAATATCTCGCCCACAAATCTGCCATTCAGTGTGAGGGGAAGTTACTTTCCTTTTTTTACCTTGTTTACCTCAATAACTGTGCAGTCATTTGCAGAAGTGTTATTGAGATTATGCCAGAGCTGCCTTGCCTAGGCTCCAATGATATCACTTCCATTTTGTGATGTCATTTAAAGCAACAGTACATTATTTATAGACAAAACAAGTTAGTGTGACGGGGTGGTAAGTCAAACTAGGGGACGCACAAAAATTGCAAAATATTTACAAAAAAATAAGGTTTATTTTGAATAAAATATATCTAATGTGAAAAAGGAACACACATTTAATCCTAAAAATAATACATGTTTAAAAAAATATATAACTTATTTGGTGATATTTTAGATGCAAATGTCATGTTGGTCAACACGGACATGTGAAATCGGCTATGAACTAATGAAAAATTGTTAAAATAGTATGTTATTCTTTAAACAAAATGTTGTATCATATACCATGTTAACAAGAACACTTGAATGAATAACCTTCAAATTTGTAAACACATTTTGGGACATGTATGTGCCTTATGCATCTCATCAAACGTTGTGGACACAAATGGCACCCGTTTCGTAGAATGACTCGTCTAGCATTGTTTGTGAAAGAAAAACTCCCACTAAAGATGGCACCTGGTTAGTATTGATCTGCAGAGTCCCTGACGATATTCAGTGACTTTACGTTAACCATTCAGTAAAGTCCTGTTCGGGCCTTAAA